AAACTAACCCTTGATGTAAACATAAAAATTGTAGATAATGATATAGTCTTTAAAATAAAATTGATATTAACTTGGTATCGTAAGCATAGCTCTAGATATCACAATTACACCCTCATAATTTCATAAAAAAATTAAGGTAAGAAGAGATAATTTCTGAGTTATAATGGTGAGTATTAGAAATCATGAGCAAACTAAGAAAGACTTAGTTTTATGACTTGTTGTGTGAAAGTTTAAAGAGTAATTATAATGTGTATGTGAGAAGTGTAAAGGGTTAAAGCTATATGTTCATTACATTAAGTGCATGAGTTGTGAATGTTTATGAATCGAGTGATATGTTATTGTTATTACCTATAAATATGTTGTGTTATTAACATTCTTAATATAATTTTTGTACGTTGTATGACTTGTGAGTGCGAATGAATGTGCTTCATATGCGAGTGAGTTACTATTTAAACTATTATGATTATCATTATGAAATTGATATTTTTTTTTGTTGAGAATGAAATTGATATTATATCTCTTAGTATGTGTTTTTGTGTATGGTTACTCAACCTTATCTCACAACGACAACAAAAGTGAGACATATCTCACTCCATTGTTTTGTTTTGGTTGTTTTTGTTATGTGTTTTGTAGGTGAAAGTCATGATAATGTCAGTGATGAGGCATGATACCTTGGCTATGGTTGGGATACGCGATGATATAGGATGTGAGGAATTTGGAATTTATGATTTATGTTTTGTTTCTTTTTGAAATTTTGTTATAACTCATTTATGTTGACTAGGAACCTTTTGTTAGTTCTTTTGGAGTTTTGTATAGTCTTCGATGTTCCTTGGGTTTTTTTGTTATTTTTTAAGAGGAGGGTTCAAACGATACTGATGTAACTTTTACTAAGTGTTACACCACTCAATAACTTTATATTAAATGTAAATTTTGAAAATCCAACCGTTAGATTGAAAGTTCATATCTCTTAGATCATATATATCAAATTTTATATTAATCTAAGATGATTTGATACTTCATTCTCATAAAACAAAATTGACGTAATATATACATTTCAAAATATACTAAAATATGAACACTTTGATTACCTTCAAGTTGTTGTTCAATTTTAACAAAATTTGACATATATGATCTAAGAGATATGAACTTTCAATCTAACGCTTTTAAGTTGTTGTTCAATTTTAACAAAATTTGATATATATGATCTAAGTGATATGAACTTTCAATCTAACGGTTGAATTTTCAAAATTCACATTTAATATAAAGTTATTGAGCGGTGTAACACTAAGTAAAAGTTACACCGATGTCATTTGAACCCTCCTCATTTTTTAATGTTATCTTTTCTAAAAGTTTAACTTAAAACTTAATTTAGTGTTACAAAACAAATGTGAGTCATCTACTTAAGGAGATATTTTGTGAACTCTTTCCATTTTACAATTAAAGATTTTATTCAAACTTTCTATTGTTTACTATAAATACAAGGATGTAAGATAAAGGATATCACAACAAATGAAGAAAAGCTGATTTTTTAGGCCAAATTATACTTTTGTTTCCCTTATAATATTAAATCTGTAATTTTTGACTTGTTTATTTTTAATTTTGCAATTTTAGTCTTCTAATTTTATAAATTTTGCAATTTTGCTCTTCTCGTCTAATGTTCGTCTATTGATCATCAAAATTATAACATGATCCAACATTAAGTACATGACACAATTATTGATATTTAATGATATTAAGATTAAATTACACTTTTAATTATCATTTTTAGCTTATTTTATTACATTTATGAGATAAAAATGATAATCAAATTAAAATTAATTCTAAATATTATTAAATTTTGTTTATTATCATGTTATTTACTTAATATTATATCATATCTAATGTTAAAATTTTAACTATCAATTGATATGCATATTTAAAAAGAAGATTAATTTACAGATTTTATAAATATGAGAGACTAAAATTATAAAATTAAAAGTAAAAAAATCAAAATTACGGATTTCATATTATAGGATAATAAAAATTACAATATAATTTTTTTAAAAGTAAAAAATCATGTTTGCAAGCAATCTATTCATAGGAAAGAAAATTACTAACAATGAAAATTTTAAAATAATTTGAATTAAGTTTTTATATATTTTAACCAATATTCGGATTCTTTAAAACTAATTTTTTACTGAGCAAGATCTGCAGGTGGCGTGAATTTGCTTGTAGAAAATACACTTTAACCAGTCCATTTAAGTGATATGGAAAAATAGCATTTAAATAGAAATAAATAAATAAATGATTTAATATTATTATTAACATAAAATAAAATAAACAATGGCATTTAATATTGTTATTCAAATAATTTTATTTGATAACGTTATTAAAATAAAATAAACACTGTTATTTCATAATGTTATTAAAATAAATTTATTATATGATATTGTTTAAATAAAATAATATAATGTTATTTACTAACATTATTAAAATGAATTTATTTTTTCTTTATTTTAATTATATATTTATTAATTTAATCAGTTAAGAATTAATTTAAATTAAATAACATTTTTCATTTCACAATTAAACATTTAGACATTAATAAATATCAAATTAATAATAAAATCAAAATATCGCATTTTTAAAAATAAAAAGACCATAATCATTGATTAGTCAAAACAAAATAACTAAAAATATAACTTAATAAAAAATGTTATGATAATAATATTCATTATAAATTTAGTTGTAAGTTTTTGGAGTTACCGTATTATAAAAGAGAAACATTGCATGTAAGTGATGTACTCATACAATTCATATAACAATATTATGTTGGATATAATTTTGTGTATATCTCTTTATCATTATAAAACGTAATAAAAAATATATAAAAATAATATTGTATAAAGTTATTGGGTGAATTATGTCAAGTATCATTTACTTATTATAATATAAAATATTTATGATTTAAATATGTTTTTAAGTATTTAGAAATATATCTCTATCTCATTTTAGTCTTTATAAAAAAACTTGTCAATTTTAGATTTCTTTTAATTCCTTCTAACATTGACTCTACTTTTTTTTTTTTAAAATATAACACCACTAACTCTAATTAGTTTAGGGTTAATATAATTAAATAAATAAATCATATTAAAACAATTAAGTTAATAAATAATATTTTGAATTAATATAATTAGATTATTTTTACATGCATATTTTAATTAAGTAATATATATATATATATATATATATATATTATTTTATATACATAAATTAATTGTAATTTGCTTTTATAATATTTTTAATAATAAATATATTACAAATCCTGATTTTATTAATTTTAATATTGTAACATTTAAAAAATATAATATTTATTTAGATACTTATAATTTACTATATATTATTTTTTAGAGACAAAATCAATGTTCTTAATATATTAAAATTAAGATTATATTACAATTATTCAAAGTTAATAATTGTAAAAAAAAAACAACCGAAATGTAATAACATTAAAAAGTAAATTATAAGTGTCCAAGTAAATTATAATATTGGTGTAAAAAAATTAAATTATAATATTAAAAAAAGTAAAATATTAAATTAATTAATAAATTAAAGAGTATGAGTAATATTTAAAAATTATAAAATAAATATATTCATAATATATT